AAAAAAAAAAAAAAAAGAAAAGACCCAGAACGAGCGATTTGCGGATTTCCCAGCAATTCCACGAGAATGCAACTTTTAAAGCCGAAAAGCTGGAAACGTTCGCCCGGGCTCTCGGGATTTTGGGAATGCCTTCCTTTTTTTTTTTTTTTTTTTTTTTTTAAGGGTTTTCTTTGTTAAAGATTAAGGAGCAAAAGCTACCGCGGTTCCCAGGCAGCGGGGGAAACGGCCACTTTTCATCTATTAAAAGCGAAGGTGTGAATAAACACTTTTAAAGATCCCTGACACTTGCTTGGACCGAAAGAGTAAAAGGCAAGTTGTCAGCAGAGGAACTTTCTTTCCCAACCAGCTCTCGGACGGCGACAGGCAAATAAGGCAAGAAAACTTCTTTCCAGGACTTTTCTCCTTTCCCAAATTCCTGTTCACCCGACTCCGGCTGATTTATTTTTTTCTCAAAACTTCAATTCAGGAGGTAGTTGGAAGGGGAAAAAAAAAAAAAAAAAAAGAGAGATAGCACCCAAAATAGAAACAACAATACACATGGCAGTGAATGCTGCTAACCTCCAATTCAAATTAAAGTCATTTTCTTTTTAGAAGAGTGGTTGCCCATTACACTGCACCTTTTGTGACAAAATATATATTTAAAAAAAAGGGGGGGGGGGAGGAAAAAAGGAGGGAAAAAAAAAGGAGGTAAAAGAAAAAAATAAAGTTGTGCTTACTCCCAGCCAGAACTTATCTTCCTAAAGTGAAGCGGTATATCATCACTAACACACAGCAAAATGCTCAGAGACATGCACACATTCAAATATTTCAAGCACTGGTGACTTTAAAAAAGACATTGGTAGAACTAGAGCTACAAAACCAACAAATACAGAGGCTCGGACATATTCACTTACATGCCTGCATGTCATTAATGTATAGAAAGCTTTGCCTCCTCCCTGAGAGCTCCGGGATGGGGAGTAAAAGAATCAAGAAAATAGCAATATACGCAGGTTTTAAGCCCTACAAGTACAACTGATAAATCCTCCCGCTGTAGGACACCGCTTTGTGCCCCTGTTCCAAAAAGGAGGAAAAAAAAAAAAAAAAAAAAGAAAAGAAACTTTTTTCGCAGCGTCTCTGTCAGCCACGTTTCAATATTATTTCACATTTGAAATCCATTTTTTTTTAATCATACGTACCCTTTGCGCCATCGGCCTGCTTGCTCCCTTCCTACTTCAACTTCTAATATATCCTCTTTAAGGCCAGTGTGAAAAGAAAGAAACGCGAAGTTCCCCCCCCCTCACCCCCCAAAAAAAGGCAAAAATCCCTTAGCGTCGCCAGCAATGGAAGCAATCGAGTAAAATCTTCGGCTTGCTGGATCTCAGCGAAGCGATACGGTAACTCAGCATTAAAAAAGGAGGAAAAAAAAATTAGGAGGAAAAAAAAAATTCAACTCTCCCTCCTTCCTTCCTTCTTTTTTCTTTCTTTCTTCCCTCTCTCCCTGTCTCTCTCTTACTCTCCCCCTCTCGTTTCCAAGACAGCAGCGGGGCGAAAGCAAATATCCTTTCCCCAAATCAGTTTTTTTTTCCTCTCTCTCTCTTTTTTTTTTTTTTTTTTTTAAAG